GAAGCGAAAGATATCTTTTTTAAAGACGCCTTAAACAGGCAAATATATTTACGTTTTGAGTCATCCGGACTGATTCAGAGCCTTTTAGTTCGGTTTTAGTTCATCTGCTCGATCTGTCCCACATTAAGTCGAGAACGCAATAATTTATTCCCCATGATACTTAAACATTATAGATCAAGCATACGCGTGCGATCACGGCCGAGTTCTTTTTTTGAGACCATTATGGACCGAGACGGGTTAAGGTTTGGAAGCATGTGCAATAAACTTACGCGTCTTCTTTTGTTCAAGGTTTGTCCGTATTCTGCAGCGTCTGCGACTCCATTGCCTCTAGCGTTTGGCAAGAGACGAAACTATCCGTGGAGAAAATAAAACAAATGATGCAGTAAATGTGTATTGGGTTGTCCACACGTATCCGAATGTTTATGAAGGGAAAGATCTTTACGTAGGTTAAAAATAATCCCACTTACTCGAGTCATTCTCGTCCGTCCACATGGAATCGAGACTGATGGAATTACTTTAATTATTCTGTCAATGGCTTTTTTTATTTCGCTCGCTGGCAAAGGTGGAATGAAGTTTACATCACCATCTTTGAGAATTGTCGGCAGCACAATGATAATCACACATTTAGCGGTTACAGACGGTTGAGCCCGATTGATTTTTGAGGCAAATAGGTCCAACTGTTTTTCACACACCCTGTTTTTCTTTTGTTTTTTGTTTTTTGTTTTTTTTACCGTTCTCACCTACAAGAAAATGGCATTTAAAGAACGAGATTTGCTCCTCTTTTGAAGGTTGCTATCGATTGGCATTGTTTTAACGCTGAGGTCGTGCTGAGGTATTTTCCTAAGAAAGCCTAAGCCAAACGGTCGATAGTGTAATATTAACTTGATTGCTGCTTCATTGCCGGATCATGCAATTACAGAAGATCGACTCTCGAGTTGGTACGGCCGACACCATCTCACGCTATTGGCATTGTTTTAACGCAGAGTTCGTGCTGGGGTATTGTCCTAAGAAGCCTAGGCCAAAAACGTCTGTAATATCAACTATTACTGCTTCATTGATCATTCAGGTAAAGAACTGAGATCGACTCTCGAGTTGTTATGACAGACATCGTCTCACGCTATTGGCATTGTTTTAACGCTGAGTTCGTGCTGGGGTATTGTCCTAAGAGAGCCTAAGCCAAAAACGTCTTTAATATCAACTATTACTGCTTCATTGATCATGCAGTTACAAACGATTGACTCTCGACTTTTTATGACAGACAACACCTCACGCTCGAGCTAACACCGGCTTGAGCCAACCCCAACAGTGTGCCTAAAAATTTCAAGACGTTTTCAGTCTACTCGTTGACACTCTTCTGTTGATGATCCTGATGGAAGGTGACAGAACTATGCAGCAGAAGGAACCGGTAGAAAATGAGCATCGTGAACAAGTGAGGAGACCGGAGTTAAACAGTAACGAAGAGGCAAGAAGACAAATAGAGTCATTAGAGCAAAACGAAAACCATCCGCCAAACAGAAATCGTCCAACAGAAAATGATGAACGACACAGCTGAGCATTTCGGGTAAGTTGTTTAAGTGAATTTTTCTGTATCTGTTGGGTAAACTTACAAAAATCGAATTTGATAAGATCATGAACACCCTTTACTCGAATGTCTCGCTTTGATGTGTATTCAGCCACAGTGTTGGCAAATTGTTGCTAATTAAGTTGTCAGGTTATCAATAGTCGCGCGGACAAAACATTAATTTAAAACAAATAAGTTGAATGCAACCTCAGCCTCCGCGGCAAATGTATCATACCCATCCAGTTCCATTGCTCTCTTTACGTTACTTTCCTCGGAAATAAATCTAATTTTATGTTACTTTTGGGTGAAAAATATGACAAAGCAGGAGGATGAAAGATAGTTTTTTTTTCCTTAGACGGGTACACGTTGTC